AATTTGATCATATACCAAGTATCTTTGGAGGACCAATTTAAGTATTTAATTTAAAAACCATTTGTATTTGAACAAGACAACTCCATGAGTCGATGATGATGATTCAACAAAATCACACTTTTCTCTTCAGAGCATGTAAAACAGTGAAACTGTGAACATCCTTTTCCTTTCCAATTAATGCTGATATGAAGAATGTTTTGGTAGATTGGCTGGCGGATATTGTAGAGGAATACAAGTTTGTTTCACGTGCTCTTTATTTTTCTGTATCTCACGTTTTTAAACTCGAATTCTTTACGTAGACAGAGGCTCCAATCCTACAACTACTGGACATTTCTTTGATGTTGCTAATTGTTTCACAAGTTCACCCATTTGTACAAACTGCAACCATGTACTCGCAAGGACAAGTCAACAACGGATCCATATATAAATCAGAGAAAAGCAACTTAAAATATATGCTACATGTTTTATGATCTGCAAGTTTATGGGACTTCACCAAAACAGAAAAGCCCTATGGAATAAATAACCTCCATTTAGGAAACAAAATAAAGTTTTAATGTCTTTGTTGCATGCTCACCTGCATTGCATATTTCCCTTCCAAGCAAGTTCCTTTTTCATCAAACATTGTATGGTGCCTGCACCCTGTTTGTGGTATAGGTACCTTGCACCTTTCATTTAATGTTTTGATATCTGAAGATGAAAATTCGTGTTGCCTTTAATTTAGCGACAAGTTTGTAGACCGAATGCTGTTTAAGAATAAAAACAGTTCCTCCACGCTCCACCATTAGACAAAAACTAACATTACAATGCATGTTCCACAAATTCTGATTTTTTTATTATCAGCAACCTGCAAAAGATACCATTTTCAAACAACCATGTGATGCTCAATGATGGGCCTCAAGCCCAAATAGCCAAGAGACCAGCTAGAAAAACACAAGATGGATCAGTAAAAAATTTAGGAGTGAGTTGGGAAACCTAGTGAGTAGGAAGCACTGAGTAAACAATACCATCATAGATCTGAGATTCAAATCAAGATGATATAAATGCTAGCCCATTTTGTGACATCTAGGGACAAAAATATTCTTTTTGTCTCCCTCAATTCATTAGCTATATATGGAGCAGATGCAGGTACTAAAACTGAGACTTCAGAACAAATTGTGAATATCATCTCCAACTTCTATATCCCTCTATTGTCTTGTCCAACAAGAATAAATGGAAACAAGCACAAAGAACTCTCTACACATTCGGTGCAATAGTTTACCCTCATCACCTCACCCGCTTGTATCACAATTCTGATAGAGGAAACAGAAACACAATAATCAACAGTACTAAAGTACGTAGCGAAAATAATTCCCCAACTTGCAAAAACCAATGAGGAGCAACAAAACAAATAAATGGCAGAAAATAATCACAAAGAGACAGATATTTTTAACATGGGAAAACCCTAGTAAAAACCCACGGGTACAAGCCAGTCAATCAAGCTCTACTATGATCAAATAAGGGTACAAGAGAGTCTAATCAAATGCATAAACAAATGCTTACAACCAGCCAATATATTAAAGCAACAAGGTTTTCCAACCGAAGAATAAAGAAGAAGAAACCTCAAATTAGAGCAATTGTAAGAAATTGATTTCTCCAACCATAGACTTCCAATTCACGATCCCCATGGTCAAAACAAAGATCACCGTGTTAAGAATCTGCTGTCAAATTTTCAGCCCGATCCAACGGTAAACGAAGTGGGGATCGAAATTTTACTGAAACTGCTTTGTGTATGCAAACCAAATATTGTTCTCTCTTTCTCTCTTCTTTCTCTCCCTGACCGCTGTGTAATTTTCTCTCTTTTATTCCTAAGAGATCCCTCTCCACTTGGTTTTTAAGTGAGACAAAATTTGGACTTCTCAATTTTGGACCTTTTCTCCACATAGGAAGGGAACCTAATACCCAACAAATTCCAGGAGCACTTGCAGAGATTGAAGGATTCTGAAGCAACCAGCACTTCTTTGTCATCATCTTCAAAAGCTAAATTGGCTTGCAGGATTTGCATGACTATGCTGATAAGTTGCTCCAGTTGCCCACTACCCAACAAGCCTTTGCACAACAATGCAGTGAAAAGTTGGTTGATCTTCTTTTAGAAGGGTCTCTGGGGCTTCTTGATATCTGTAGTGCAGCCCAAGATTGTCCCTTGTAATCAAAGGAAAGCATTCAAACGGTTAAGTCAGTTATACGAAGGAAGGGTGTTGACACTGAATTCACAGTTCAGGGTGGAAAATACTTGACATCTAAGAAGAAGATGAAAAAGGCAATTCAAAAGGCCTTAGGCAATTGAAAGGAATGAAAAATAATTCCTCTTCAAGCAAAGATAATGAGGTTTTGTCTATCCTTGGCATGTTAAAAGAAGCAGAACCAGTCACTATGAGGTCCTTAGAATTTTTGTGGCTGTTTGTGTCTGACCCCAATGGACAATCAAAGCAGAGAAGATGGTCAATAATCTCTAAGTTGATGCAGCCCCATAGAATGACTTGTGACTCTCAAGAATCAGACTCAAATGAATTTGTAACGGTGGATACAGCTTTGCAATCACTCATCACTCGCAAGCCTTTATCTGTTGAGAATCTTCACAGCCATGTGGAAAATTTGGAGATATGCATTGAGGATCTAGAAGTAGGTGTTGAACACCTTTTAAGGCAACTCATTAGAACAAGAGCTTCCCTTCTTAACATCTTCAGCCACTAGTTAGAGAAAAAATCTCAATGTTGAATGTGGACACCCAAATTCAATTTTTGTCCCACAATTGTACATAGATGTGATGTGATCACAACTTTTTTTTGTTACTAAATACAATATTGTACGATATTATAAAAGGATCTGGTTATGGCCAATTAATCTCTTTACCAAAAAAATCTCTTTTTTTATTGATTTCTTTCTTTGATACATACATTCATTCATATTTCTCTTTTTCTTTTGTTGCTATATCTGTTGAGAAATTCCTTTCCTATGTCTAAATTTTGTTTGCTTGATTAAATGGATAGAAGAAAGTGAGTCCCACAGTTGTATAAAGATGCGAGTTTATCTGCTTCTTTTCCCCTTAACTAGGTTTCTTTCTGATGGGGTTATTTTATGAAAGTTATTTTTATAAGATTATTACACAAACATAGATATTGTCCGCTTTGGGCCTTAGCCCTCACAGTTTTACTTTTGGTCATTACCCAAAAGGCCTTTCGATCATTGAAGTATGTTTGTATTATATAAGTTATTATTTCTTGTTTTATTTTATCGATGTGGGACTTGTTTGTATCCCAACACTTTCTTTCTTTGGAAATTCTTACCTAAGTGAAAATGTGAAATTTAGAGAAAGGTTCAAAATGAAATTGCATTTTCATGTTTTAATTGCACTAGTAAGTATGAAGTAAAATTGATTCTAAAATTTTCATATTCTCACTTGTCACGTATGTTGAGATACAAACAAAGTCTTACATTGTTAGAACAAGAGAAGAAATAAGAGTTTATAAAATACATACATACTCCATTGATTGGGAGGCCTTTTGGGTGATGACCAAAAGCAAAACCATGAGGGTAAAAACTCAAAATAGACAATATTTTACCATTGTGAAATTGTGTGTGCAAATACCTACTAAAATACAAAGGAGAAATAAGAATTTATAAAACACATACATACTCCATTGATTGAAAGACCTTTTGGATGATGATCAAAGCAAAACTAAGGTGAGAACTCAAAGTAGACAATATCTTAATATTGTGAAGTTGTATGTGCAAATACGTACCCACCGAAATACAGAGGAGAAATAAAAGTTTATAAAAACACATATTCCATTGGTTGAGAGACCTTTTGAGTGATGACAAAAAATAAAACCATGAGGGTGAAAATCCAAAGTAGACAATTACCATTGTGAAGTTATGTATGCAAATACCCACTAGTAACCCGACAAACAATAAACAAGATATAACCCCTCATCTTGATAAATATATTCTTATATAAATACCATAACATAACCCTAATAACGTAATCAACCAAGTACATCTTATCAATTAGAATGCCCATGTAGGATTCTAAACTCCACAATGATAAGATATTATCCGTTTTGCACTTAAGTCCTTATGGCTTTGCTTTTGGTTATCACTCAAAAGGCCTATCAACCATTGGAGTATATGTATGTTTTATAAACTCTTATTTATTCTCTATTTCTCTTGTTTTATCGATGTGTGTCCTTATTTGTATCTTAATAGTTCTTTTATTTCATATGCAAAAATTCAATGAACAACGTGATTGTTGTCTTCTTGTAATGAGGGAAAAACTAATTAGTTGTCACTTGTCAGTTCCTTATGTTAATGTGATTCATTATTAGTTTCTTGTGTTCCAAGCAGTTTCTAATCTGTACTACAATAGCATTTATGACCAGCAAGTGATCCATATAATTCCACTATGATTTGCATTTAATGTTATTCTATTTGCCAAAAAAACAAATTTATACCTGCATTTAATGCAATGAAGGAAAACCTAGCAATCAGGCAATGCCAGTTGTGAGTTTAGTGCATTGATAACACCAATATGATCAATGAAAACGTGGGTTGAGAGAAGAAAACAAGTCCCGAGTTGGAGTGTTCCTATGCAAGAGACATTGCATTAACATTACTGATATCTTTTCGATAAATCTGAATGAGTCAGTTAGCCCATTTATTTTTGTTAATATTTGATTCCTTGTGTCTCCTCAACTCCCGATGTGTATTGAACTAATCTCAATGGAAGTAAAGTATATTCAAAGACTTTGAATACTTGATATAATTAGTGACTTTTTCCTTATGATATGTACTCAAAGTATTGCCATGAAATAACTCAAGTCACGAAATGATCATTGCTCAATGATGATACTACAAGTACAAACTAAAATTTGATTAAACAGTTTCAATGTATCATAAGTAGATATTTTCATTTACAATTACCATGTAAAATTGTATATGTACATTACAAAATTTGGATGCCCCAGATAACCTTAACTAGTGATTGAGGATGTTAAGAAGGGCAACTCTAGTCTTTATCAAATGCCTAAACAGAAACTCAAGCCCTTCTTCAAGATCTTGAGTAAGAGACTCTATTTTCTCCAATTGGTTTTGAAGCTTATTCATGTTTTCAATTTTGCTTGTCTGGGAAAACATGCAGGATTGCAATGCTTCGTCAAGTTGGGCAAATTCACTTTCATGATCTGCCAATTGTGAGCAACCGACTTTCTTGGTCTGCATTAGCTTGGAAACCAAAACCCAACTGCTTGATTTTGATTGAGTAGTCCCTGAGATGAATTGCATTAATGCCTGAAATGTTGAAAGAGTGACCACTTCCACATTCTCTAATAAACTAATCAAAGCCACTGTTTGATTGCCTTTGTTTGTGGATGAGATGTTGCCATGTTTTGAAGTAGCCTTCAAATTTTCCAAGGCTTTCGAGATGGCCTTTTTCACCACCTTCCTTGAAGTCAAGAACTTCTTAATCTCTGCCACTTCACCCCCCTTTCTCCTTCTCATAATTGATTGAAGATCACGCATGCACTCTTTTGTATGCAGTAGAGAGTCTTTGGTGGCAGTGCACACATCTAAGACCCTTAAGGATCCATTCAGAAGCTCATCAACCCACTTTTCTTGAGACTCGTGGTGAAGTGCTTCTTGGGTGAGGGGAAGCTGGAACAAATTTTCAACACATACATGCAGATCTTGCAACCCTCCTAGCTTATGGCTAAGCGATGAACAGGAAGAAGAGGTTTCATGGGAAGCCCTTAACCTGTCCAAGTGCTCATTGCATTGTAGGATGAGAGGGTGTGGTCTAGAGGGCAAGCTGTTTGAACGTACATGGAAATGGGATTTTGTGTTCAATGCCATTTTTTCCTTGGGAAAGGGAAGCCTAGATGTTGAGTTTAGAATGCAGGTTTTGGATCTACCTTGTTGCCAATGCCATATGCTTAATATATATTAAGGGTGTTGGGACAAAAGGAATCTCATCATTGACTAATATCGATGAGTGCTAACTAATCAAGATTTGGATCTAAACATTGCCACAAAATTGTAAGAGAAGTGTCTCCCACGAGGAGACTCAAACTAATACTTTTTCTCCCACTTCCATGATTATGATGTTTAGAATGTGAATCATTTACTATAAATTGAATAATGTAATTCATGTGCACGAGTGGAGTACCGTGATGGCTAAAACAATGGGTATGGTATTAGAATAGTGGATTGAAGCTTAACTCAACCCTACAAAACCGGCTTGTAAGGTGAGGGTTATTTTCCACTTATATACTATTTAATTGCCTAATCTCTAGTCGATGTGGGACTTGGGTTTTTCTCAATACACCCCCCTCACGTCTAGCACTATTGGGTTTGGTACGTAGATAAATGATAGGTGGCCCTTTTTAATGATCTAGGATTGGCGGGACTTGAATACACCCCCCCTCATGTCCATGGTGCATGTATTAATGAATGGTAGGTGACCCTTTTTTAATTGACGGGACTTGAATACACCCCTATTTTCCAGTTATATACTATTTAATTGCCTAATCTCTAGTCGATGTGGGACATGGGTTTTTCCCAATATATGGTATAGTTGTACATGTCTCTCTTGCAGAAACAAGAATCGCATTACTTGTTCCAATGCTTTAAAATAAAGCGAACTACGTGTGAGTGAAAAGAAGAGGAGGTGAAGTGCAATCTGAGCCTGTGTCCTTGTTGCATCTCATTTAATATAAAACTGTTGAATGGTTAAAGATCATGAGGTCTGAGATTCGAGCCTATCATCTAAATTAAATATTTGTCTTCGAAAAATAGAAGACGCGGGAATTTATAACATATATATTACTAATATCAAAATAAGAGCTGGATCGATGCTTACCTGCACTTATAGTTAAATGACTAAGCCACAGTTGCATGGTTTTTCTTTTGTATGAAAATTATACAAACACAACTCTTGCAGTCTCATGGATTTATCAGGTAAGTATACAGAACAAAGACTTTGGTGGCGCAACAGTGTGCGTGACTTGTACGACTTTTAAGAGATTTTCATTCAACTTATTGATCACATGGAGGAGATATATTGTGTGAACCAGCCAACAATCCATTTAGTAAAAAATCTAGTGTTTCATGCTAGAATCAAACATACAGAGGTTATTATTTTGTCAGAGAGAAAATATTGATGTGACATTCATGAGTATCAAAATTGAATGCCAAAGGTAGAAGTTATTATATTTACAAAATGGCTTGATGGTATGCTGCCACATGCTCAACATGTATAACTGAAGATGCAAGGAATCTCATCTTCAACAAACATCAACAAGTGCTAACTAACCAAGACCATTTAGATCTAAACATAAGCTTATTAAAATTAGTGCAACGTGCTTCCTGACACATGTTTATCTTAATTAACATGCAATAATGCAACGCCTATTTTGGCAATTAATTTCAAAACACAAATTTATTTCATTGTGTCACCCCTCGTGTGCATGTGTAAGCTAGTTAGATGGCTAAAACACAGGCTTGAGTCTCGTTTGGCATGGGGAACAACCCAACAAATGCTGCATCTCTTGTGCCCACTATGCCATGGCGTCATCAAACTCAATGTTTGGTGCAGCAATATATCAATTGCAAAAGTCAACAATTTTTTTAGTAGCACAAGTGTTTCTGTCTATGGACAAGTGAATAATGTGAATTGGGCTTTGCTAGCTCAAGATATAATATGGGTACAGAGGACACAATAACTCTCATGTTAACAAATCTCAGTGAGTTCTAATTAATGTAAATCTGGATCTATAAATAAGGTCAGAAATGTTAGAGCAATGTCTCCCACAAGGGAGGCTCTCCCGCTCAATACGTCTTCTTGTTTATTTCTCCCTTGCACAATTATCACATTTGTACATATTATTATATCCAACAAGCTAGTGACATTATCTGATGCACCATGCGTTTATTGCTTCGTTGCAATTGATTTACAAAGAAATTTAACTGGACTGATGGTGAATAGTTGGATCTGGGCTGATGAGCAGATTTTGTTGGTTGCCGTGATTTCTTGGTGGGCTGAGAGCTTGGCCCAATAATCTGCAACAGGATCCATTCACTTAACACGGCTATGATAATTAGCGTGCAATTAATTATATACATCATCTTGATTTGAATCTTAGCTTCCTAGCAATTCTTCCCATGCATTAATCTTCCAAATCATACTTCAATTTTTTAACTCATAAATCACACGGATAGATTATTGAATAATATCATATTTGCGTGTTGCTGATATAACAACTGAATTAGGGGTCTTGGGGACACTGCAAAGCATACATATTTATTGATTTAAAATACACATCATAGCTGTCAATCTCTAATCAAGGGCTATGTTTTGCGGTGTTCCCAATTCCATACCTATTAATTAATCAATACTAGAATACATGCATGTTAGCTCCAGATTTTGTAATGGACTATATATTTGATGACAATATACTAGTTCACTTGTCCTCTTTAGATGAACATAACCAGCTTATTTTTCATTATCCTTAGCATATAAAACTTGAGAACATGTGCAGGCATTAGGTTTTGATTAATCAATAATCGTCAACCTAATGGCAGTTGTAAGATTAACAGGTAGGATATGCCTTTATCTTTTCATTTTATTTTTCCCAGAAAGAAGAAAGAAAACTTGATTAAAAGATATGATTAGCAATATGGCTTTGGTACCTGTAACATGTTTACAAATTATAAACAATTGACTTTATCATCTATCGGTGGACTAAATAAAAGGAAAAAGTTACTAAGCAGTTGATTTTCTTCTTTTGGGACTCTAGAAGTGAAAACGTGTGTTTACTGTTTTATTTTCTCTTTCCTTTCACTTATTTTAATGGTGAACATTTGGAAGAAACAGGGAACTTGGAAGATGAGATGTTGAGGGTAAAAATAGGAACTGGACAAAAGAGATATGGACGCTAAAGCAACAATAGTTTGATCCTTAAATAATATGTATTCAGTAAAATATAAACAGATTTAATCACATCCATGTACAGTTGCGTGACACTCAAGGGGGAAAATTGAGTGCACCAAAATCATATAGATACTATGATTAGTGGTTGAAGATGTTAAGAAGGGAAACTCTGTTTCTAATTAATTTTCTTGAGAGGTGATCAAGTCCTATTTCTAGATCTTGAATGCACAGCTCCAAATTTTCCACGTGACTATGAAAATTCTCAAGAGATGAAGGCTTGTGACGGATGAGAGACTGCAGAGCTGCATCCACCTTTTGAAATTCATTTGAGTTTGATTCTTGAGAGTCACAAACTACTCTTTTTGGATGCACCAACTTGGATATTGCTGACCATCTGCTATGCTTTGAGTGTCCTTTTGAGCCAGATATAAACAGCAACAAATGTTCTAATGAGCTCAAGGTGACTACTTCTGCTTCTTTTAAGAAGCTGAGAATTGAAGTGTTGTCATTTTCTGAAGAAGCTATGAGTACACTTTTCATATTTTGCAAGGCCTTTTGAATTTGCTTCTTCATCTTTTTCCTCAAAGCCAAGTATTTTACACCCTCAACCATGAATCCAGTTTCGTTGCCTTTCCTTCTTCGGATGACTGACTTTAAGTCACACATGCTTTCCTTTGATTGCAGAAGGCAATCTTTAGCTACACTGCAGATATCTAAGAGCCTAAGAGACCCTTCTAGTAGTTCATCAACACATTTGCCATTGCACTCTTGTGCTAAGGCTTGTTGTTCTATTGGCAATTGAAGCAACTTATCAGTGCAGTCATGCAAATCCAGCATGTCATTAAGTTTGTGGCACACTGAAGATGATGACAGCAAAGAAGTGGCTTCAGAACCCTTCAATCTTTGCAAATGCTCCTCAAATTGTGAAACAAGAGGGTGAGCTGCAGAGGGCAAGCTGTTGCTGCGAAGATGTGTTTTCTTTTCAATGGCTGCCATTTTTTCTTCTTAGGAAACAGATACTTAGAACTTAGGAGGTATTGTATAGAGTTTGTTTCAAAGCCTGACTTATTTTGGGTTGCTTCTGGCCTTTTGCTTTATATATAGCAAATGAAGTAACAGAATATGGGAGACAAGAGGAATATTTTTTCCTCAAATGTCACCTAATGAGTATACAATTATTTTTTCATGATTTGGATCTCAGCATCCTAATCGTTATCTGACAATGTTTGCCATGCAGCATGCATCCAACTCATCTCTCAATTTTTTACTTTCAAGTTGGGAATCACATGGATCCTTGTAAAGTGGCATATCTTTACAATATAGTAGTTTATGCTGTGTGATGCAGGCATTGTAATGAGAGCTTCTGTCTGGAGGATGAAAGGTGCTGTTTCCTAACATAATTGACTCAGCCTTTGAAATTGTCTACCTACAACAAGACAGATTAACGGCAAGAGGACTCTTCATTTTCAGATACTAATATATCAGTCACTTCTTGGTGGCAATGTTTATGCAATGTCTCCAGCTCAATACCTATTAATTAATCCTCTTCTGCCACCATTTTGTATGTTGTAAGTTACCTGTCTCATTGACATGTGAAAAACTGATTGATGCAAATTGGTTTGCAGAATTTTTCTTTATTTTTTTTCTTTTCAGAATATTCTTTTTCTCAAGTGGAGGTAACTAGTAATTTCTTGTTGCCTTTTCTCTTGATCCTGTGATCAAAAAATTATCAAGGACAGCTAAGAAATCATGTACTCACTGCTTTCTTGCCATTTTTATCATTTTGTTTGTAAATGGAAATCTCAAACCTTCTTCCTTAGGTTTGTGCTATTCTTCTCTCCACAGAAAGGAGGACTAATTGGTAGCTCAGGACAAGGTTTATGCAACCCAAAGATTATGGTGGATTGGTATATGTTTGGAGGAGACGTGGGGTTCTGTTAATCCAAACCAATCTTAGGGTCTAGGTGTTATAGAAAAATTATAGGTGATTTATGTTGCCTGGCTTTCAAGTTTCAACCTCCATCAAAGAATCTGGTTGACCATGGAATTTCTTCTCACAACCACGTTTTTTTAATGTACAAGACTCGTCTCAGACCTTACTTAAGGGAACTAAGTCCAATACCACTTGAATTAACGACTTGTTGATAAATTTTAACTGCCTTTTGCCACTCATGGTTTGCATTAAAATGGAGAGTTAAAATTTAAAGTTACCTATGCTAAGGTATATACAGCAATCTTCTTGAGGCTTTGATTGAAAAGGAGTTGTTGAATGCATATTTGGAGTTGGAGAAGACTTAAAATTTTAGGGAAATGAAGTTTCTTTGGCATCTCATCATCAAATGATTCAGTATTAACCATCAATATCTTTATGTTATAGATTCATTCCTTCAATATCACTTGATCCTTATTCTAACTGTTAAATAGAAGTGGAAGCAAGAGTTCAGGCTATTAGCCTAATAGAGCTTGTTGTTTGGCTATTCGGCCTCCAAAATATGGAATACTTGCACATTATCTACTAATCAAGAATTTATTTATTTTTTCAATCTAGAACTCTTGATATGAAAAGAGTGGATTATTTGAACCACCTTAATTCCTCCATAAAAATGGAGATCCCTAAGTCACGTTTGATGTGACAACATGGAGTATTTGGTTATAGAAGAATGACATTTTGTATGGGCAAAGAAAATAATGATTTCACCAGGCACAATGCTCAAAGAAGAGAGCTTGATATCACAACAGTGCTTTTGAGAAATTTAAAAATACTTGTATACAATACACTAAAAGCCATTAGAACTTATCAGGGATGGCAAAACGGGCCAGCCCGGCCCGTTTTGGCCCGGCCCACCATTGGCCCGCCAAAAATGGACCGGGCCGGGCCGGCCCGCTAATGTAAAACGGGCTGGAGATGCTGGCCCGCCCCGCCTAAGGGCGGGCTGGCGGGCCAACCCGCTTACAAAAATAAAAAATAAAAAAAAATGGAAAAAAAAATATTTTATGGTCAATAAAAAAAAATTGCTACAAATAAATAAATATAATCATATGAAATTAAAAATGCATACATATTGTACTTAATATATGTTCAACAAAAACAAATTACAAACTTAAAACAAAATCAAATAGAAATTAATCCATTTACACCAAAATCAAAACCAAATTATAAACTTACAAATTATTTATAAACTAAATTTTTTGATAGTCCACAAAACAAGTTTAAATACAATTAATTAACTTTAAATTTTTATTTTAAGAATATTAGAAGCTCTCTTGAAAGAAGTTATCTCTACTTTTTTTCTTAATCATCTTCATCCTCATCTTCTGCATCAAAATAAAATAAACATAAAAATAATTAAACTAAAAAAAAATATATGCGGGCCGGCGGGTTGTGACGGGCCGGCCCGCTATTTGGCCCGGCGGGTTGGTGGGCTTGGCGGGACGGGCTTGGCGGGTTGAAATGATTGGCCCGGCCCGCCAATTTTTGGCGGGCCAACGGGCCGGCCCGCGGGCCATGACCCACTTTGCCATCCCTAGTTGTTATTATCAAAATCAAAAGATGCAGGGAAAAAAAAAACACTTGTGTCTTATAGCCGTTTACAAGGAATTAGTATATATCACGGTATGTAAGCTACAGAGATTAGATAAAGCTTTTCAATTCGATGTGGAAAATGCATTAAAATGCCAAAATTATGCCAAGTTCATATACACAAAGGAGTTACTGAGGTAATAAACAACATATGGAACAAGAAAAAAAGGAAACGAAGGATGTTCATCTAAAACTAAATATTAGATGCCAAAATTCTTTGACATAATCACAAAACATTCGCACAGATTTGTACAATTAGTGATTGAGGGTGTTGAGAAGGGAAACTCTAATTTTGATAAAACGTTTAAAAAGAGTTTCAAGTCCTTCCACAAAGTCTTGAATGACTGACTCTAGATCTTCCAACTGGTTCTGCAAATGATTGATACTGTCTGACTTTCTTGTCACATGAAACACAAACGATTGCAATGCAGCATCTACATTGGAAAATTCATTCTTATCCGACTCTAGTGTGCAAATAACCTTCTTGTTCTGCATTAGCTTGGAAACCAAAGACCATTTACTTGGTTTTGATTGTGCTGGTCCAGAAATGAAGTTCAGCAGTGACTCCATTATGGAAAGAGTGATTACTTGCACATCTTTGAACAAGCTAGCCAAAGTTGCGGTTGGATGGTCCTTGTTGCTAGGAGCAAATTTTGCTTTCTTCACAGTCACTTGTAAATTCTCCAACGCTTTGAGGATTGCCTTCTTTACTACCTTCCTAGAGGCCAAGAACTTCCTGACCTCAGCTGCAATCTCCATTTCACCTCCCCTTTTTCTTCTCATAATCGATTGAAGTTCGCGCACACATTCCTTTGTGTGAAGTAGAGCATCCTTTGCAACAGTACACACATCTAGGAGCCTTAAAGATCCATCCAGAAGCTCATCAACCCACTTCTCTTGACGCTCTTGGACTAGGACTTCTTGAGTAAGAGGCAGAAGAACAAGGTTTTCAATACAATCATGCAGAGTCTGCAGGCCAGTTAGTTTGTGTCTGAACAATGATGATGAAGAGGAAGTGGCATCAGAAGCCTCTAAACTTCCCAAATGTTGGTTGCATTGTAGGATAAGAGGGTGTGGTCTACATGGCAAGCTCTTTGAGCGAGATTGGGGATGAGAATGAGATTTTGGGCTAAAAGAAGTGGCTGCCATTTTCTCAGAGAAGAGAGAAAGGCTTTGCGGTTGACTCTATACAATTGAGTTTTGGATATACCTTATTTCCACTGAGATTAGTTCAATATATATTGGGAGTTCAGGAGACAGAAGGAATCAAATATTAACAAAAATCCAAAAGGGCTAACTGACTCGGATTCAGATTTATCAAAGATCTCAGTAATGTTAATGCAATGTCTCTTGCATAGGAACACTACAACTCAGGACTTGTTTTCTTCTCTCAACACACGCTTGCAGTAATCATATTGGTGTTATCAATGCATTAAACTCACGAGTGGCATTGCAAGGTCTTTCTTCATTGCATTAAATGCAGGTATAAAATTGTTTTTTTCAAATAGAATAACCTTAAATGCAAATCATCGTGGGATCATATGGATCACTTGCGGGTTATAAATGAACTGTTGAACAGATTAGCAACTGCTCGGAACACAGGAAACTAATAATGAATCATATTAATATAAGGAACTGACAAGTGACAACTAATTGGCTTTTCCCTCATCACAGGAAGACAAAAATCACGTTGTTCATTGAATTTCAGCACATGAAATATAACATGTGCAGACTCTTAATTTTGGCAATTTTTTAATCATCAACCTAATTGCACTAGTAATCTTGACAGCGGGCTATGGATTCAATTTCAAACTGACTTTGAATCCCATGTGGGCATAATAATTGAAATGGAGTGGTTTCTGATTAAGTAATTATTATATTATGCTACTATGCCTCCTCTATCCTTCATTTTGTATACTTTTTTTTTTTTATTTCTGATATGAGAAATAAACTTTTATTTAGAGATAGGAATAGAAACAAGGTGATCGAATATCCAGAAATATTGGATTTGAAATGGGTTACATAATTTGTAGTAGTGGCATTAAAGAAAAAATGAAAATATTATTCTACGGCTCCTCTTCATTCAACTTTAGTCGGCAATAACTTGGTATATATATCAACCATTGTGTTGTTTAGGCATTACAATGAAAAAAAGTTATATTTTACCCCATTTTTCCTTGAGACTGCCTGGTCCAGTACGTGACAAGTGAGAACATGAAAATTTTAGAATCAATATAACTTCATACTTAATAGTGCAATTAAAATATGAAAAGCCAATTTCACTTTCAACCTTGCTCTAAATTTCACATTTTCACTTTCTTCTATCCATGCAATCAAGCAAACACGATTTAGACCTAGGTAAGAATTTCCAAAGAAAGATACATAGTAAGGGGAAAATGAAACAGATAAATACACATCTACGTCTGCGGGACTCACTTTCTTTTATCCATTCAATCAAGCAAACAAAATTTAGACATATCCATAGGCAAGGAATTTTGCAAAGAAAGAAAGCAATTAAGCTAGCAGGAAAAAAAGAAAACAAGCAAGAAAGAAAGAATGAACAAAGGATGGAAAGCAAGCATGCAACAAAAAGAAAGAAATTAATAGATAAAGAAAGCCAGAAAGAATATAAGAAAGAAAGAAATAAACAAAAAAAGCAAGAAAGATAGAAAGAGATAAGTTGGCTATAACTTGATCCTCTGATAATATTGTATTAATAACAAAAATGTTTTAATCACATCTATGTACAATTGTGGGACAAAAATTGAATTTGGGTGTCCACATTCAACATTGAGATTTTTTCTCTAACTAGTGGCTGAAGATGTTAAGAAGGGAAACTCTTGTTCTAATGAGTTGCCTTGAAAGGTGTTCAACATCTACTTCTAGATCCTCAATGCATATCTCCAAATTTTCCACATGGCTGTGAAGATTCTCAACAGATAAAGGCTTGTGAGTGATGAGTGATTGTAAAGCTGTATCCACCGTTACAAATTCATTTGAGTCTGATTCTTGAGAGTCACAAGTCATTGTATCAGGCTGCATCAACTTAGAGATTATTGACCATCTTCTCTGCTTTGATTGTCCCCTGGTATCAGAGACAAACAGCAACAAAGATTCTAATGACCTTACAGTGACTGCTTCTGCTTCTTTTAACATGCCAAGGATAGACAAAACCTCATTATCTTTGCTTGAGGAGACAATCATTAACTCATTTTTCTTTCCTTTCAAACTGCCTAAGGCCTTTTGAATTGTCTTCTTCATCTTCTTCCTAGATGCCAAGTATTTTCCACACTCAGCTGCGAATTCTGTGTCAGCACCCTTCCTCCGGATTACTGACTTAACCGTGTGAATGTTTTCCTTTGATTGCAAGAGACAATCTTGGGCTATACTACAGATATCCAGAAGCCCCAGAGCGCCTTCTAAGAGGACATCAACCAACTTGTCACTGCATTGTAGAGCAAAGGCTTGTTGAGTAGTGGGCAACTGGAGCAACTTATCAGCATAGTCATGCAAATCCTGCACGCCAATTAGTTTTTGGCTTATTGAAGACGATGACAAAGAAGTGCTGGTTGCTTCAGAATCCTTCAATCTCTGCAAGTGCTCCTGGAATTGTGATACAAGAGGGTGAGGTGATGAGGGTAAACTGTTGCATCGAATGTGCAGAGAGTTCTTTGTGCTTGTTTCCATTTACTCTTGTTGGATAAGACAATAGAGAGATATAGAAGCAGGAGATAATATGCACAATTTTTTCTGAAGTCTAAGTTTTAGTACTTGCATCTGCTCCATATATAGCAAATGAATTGAGGAGACAAGTGGAATATTTCTGTTCCTAATGTCACAAAATGGGCTAGCAATTATATCATCTTGATTTGAATCTCAGCTCTATGATGGTATTGCTTACTCAGTGCTTCCTACTCACCAGGCTTCCCAACTCACTCCTAATTTTTTTTACTTGAGCATCACATGGTTGTTTGAAAAATGGCATCTTTTGCAGGTTGCTGATAAAAAAATTCAGACTTGGTGGAGCATGCATTCATTGCATTGTAATAGAAGTTTTTGTCCGATGGTGGAGGAACTGTTTCTATTCTTAAACAGCATTCAGTCTGCAAACTTGTCTGCTAAATTAAAGGCAACACGAATTTTCGTCTTCAGATATCAAAACATGAAATGAAAGGTGCAAGGAACATATACCACAAACAGGGTGAAGGCACCATACAATGTTTGATGAAAAAGGAACTTGCTTGGAAGGGAAATATGCAATGCAGGTGAGTGTGCAACATAGACATTAAACTTTATTTTGTTTCCTAAATGGAGGAGATTAATTATTCCATAGGGATTTTTTGTTTTGGTCAAGTCCCATAAACTGTTGCAGATCAGAAAACATGTAGCATATATTTTGTTACGTTGCTTTTCTCTGATTTATGAATCAGTTGTTGACTTGTCCCTGCAAGTACATGGTTGCACTTTGTTCAAATGGGTGAACTTATGAAACAATTAGCAACATCAAAGAAATGTCCGGTAGTTGTAGGTTTGGAGCCTGTCTACGTAGGGCATTCAAGTTTATAAACCAATCAACCTAAGATATAGAAAAATAAAGAGCAACTGAAGCAAACTTGTATTCCTCTACAATATCTGCCAAGTGCCAACCAATCTACTAAAACACTCTCCATATCAGCATTAATTGAAAAGGAAAAGGATGTTCATAGTTTCACTGTTTTACATGCTCTTAAGAGAAAAGGGTCGTTTTGTTGAAGGATCATCATCATTCATGCCTTCATGGAGTTGAGTCTTGTTTAAATACAAATGATTTTCAAATTAAATACTAAAATCGGTCCTGGAAAGATTCCTTGCATATGATTTGTCGAAAAGCCCCACATTGTCTGCCTCAATTCTCCGGGTATGTTTTATATATCAGTTAAGCAACATTATTTAATGCCGATTGATTTTAAGATGAAACCTAACATGATAAAGTTAGTTTTCCATATATTTTGGACATCAATTTGGTTTTTCAAAGTGTAAATTTAGGTATTAAATTGATGTCAAAATATACATTGTGGGGCTAAATTGATATTCATTTTAAACATTAATGGTCCAATTTAAATTTAATGTCCAAAAACTTTGCATGAATACTTTGACACCCGTTGTATATTTGGAAGATTAAATTGAGACATAGAGATCTCTAAAGTGAGTTTTGCTTCTTCCAACAAAGTTTCCTTTATACATATGGTCAAGAATCAAACTCCTGCCAAAATGTTTAAGGAATCGAGTTATCTACCACCTGGGGTATTTGAGAATTTATATTTAGTCTAGTTTTTATTTTACCCTTTTTCACTTCACATATTTTGAAGTTGGAGTGTGAAAATAAAAGATAACTGAAAGATGAGATGTTTGTGGGAACATATTAAAGGAAGAAAAGGGAGAATAAAAGTGACTATAATTTGATCACATAATATATACTCAGTAACAAAACAAGATCTAATTACATTTTTTACAACTGTGAGATACTTTGGGGAAAATTGGATTTGTGTGTCCACAATAATCATATGGTTTTTTCTTTATTGATAACTCCCCATGTTGTCTTTATTGATAAGAAACATCCATAACTTGTTGATGATGGGAGCAATCCTTTTCAGAAGATTTTAGAGTGGATAAGGGGTGTATAGTTAAGGAGTTTTTGCAGGGATATAATTGTACTAAGTAGGTTAAGGCATGGGTTCAACTAGACAACATCCCTTTTTGTTTCACACAATTTTCCTGATTAGGAACAATTGTTTTTCATTCTAATAAGCTCACAGTGACTACATCTGCTTCTTTTAAGATGCTATGCATGGTTAAACTCTCATTGTCGTTGTTTAAGGAAGTAACAATTTGCTCATTCTTGATGATTCCTTTCAAATTTGCTAAGGCTTTTCGAATTGCCTTCTTCATATTCTTCCTAGATGCCAAATATTTTCTACCTTCAATTGTGAATCCTGTTTCAGCACCCCTCCGGCAAATTACTGACTCAAGTTCATACATGCCTTCCTTTGATTGTAGTAACCTATATTTAACTATACTGCAGACATCCAAGAGCTTCACAGACCCTTCTAGCAGTTCATCAATCCATTTGCCGCTGCAATCTCATGCTAATGATTGTTGAGTGACTGGCAATTGGAGCAACTTATCAGTGCAGTTATGCAATTCCTGCAATCCATTGAGCTTTTGGCTTATGGAAGATGATGACAAAGAAGAGGAGGTTTGAAAATCCTTCAATCTATTCAAATGATTCTCTAATTGTGGCACAAGGGGGTGAGGTGCAATGGGCATGCTGTTGCTGCGAAGATGTAGAGAACTCTTTGTATTTGTTTCCTTGGTTACCATTTTCTCTACTTTGCAAAAAGAATTCTAGGAGATGAAATTTACAAGTTCTGATTTCTGGAGTTTTGAAGAGTTTGAGAATTTTTCACGTTTCCATATATATTAAACGAATCACAAGAAGAATATTTTTCTTTGGAAGTGTCAACAAGTTGACATGCTAAGTCTGTCATGATTTGGTTTTCAAAGCTGCCACACAGAATTGTTTAGTCCATGTTTCCCACATACCAAACTTCCCAACTCATCCATCAAATTTTGACCTGAGAATCACATGAATACATCTACCATAGATGTGATGGGATATGAAGAGGCGCCATTGTGGACTTAGCATCATAATTGAATATTTTGTCTCTAGGAAGAGTTGTTTCTTTTTGTAATACCAATTATTCTCAACTCGCTTGCCAACAAAAATGATGTCAGTGGCTGGTCATACCTGGATGGCTATGTTCATGCATTGTTTTCAATTTTTGTATATCAAATAACTACTGAATCTTTAAGTACACGCTCATATACCAAAAAGACGTTGTGAATCAAAACGCTTGAGAAGGAAAAGTTGATCAAATGATTGAATTTGAGTGTTCAAATTCAAGGAATGCAAGTGCAACAGCCTGTCAACTAGGGAAATAGACAACATTGTACAGTTTGACTATATTCTATCAATGCTACAAAGTCCTAATAATCCATGTTATATTTCATAGTATTGCACAGTTTGATTAAGGAAAACTAATAAGATGACAAAAAGCTCTTGTCAAAACTAAATGACAGTTTAGTCACAGTTATTAAATAAAGAAAATATCAAATTAATAAGTAAAAATATTAAATCACACTCACAGTTCCTGAAATGATAAAATGTTTTATCTTTGCAACGTCATTGAGTAGTCAATGAATGATTCATGCACACGTGATTCTTTGTTTTATCACACACAAATTGCGTTTTTTAATCAAAGGCAGGCGTGTGAATAGCTGAAGCTGGAAAAAGAATTGTGAACAATTTTCCTAGGCCACTTTTACATTGCAAATTTGTATTATTATTCTCCATAATTATCACAGATTAGTTTAATAGTTAAAACTTAAAATAAAACGTGAAGTATTTACAAGTAATTTAAGAAAAAATATACATGCCGAACTGGGAATATAATTTGTAAATAAGAACACACTTAAAACATTGCATCAATTATATGAAATTTTCTTTTTCCCTAGTGGGCTTAGGTGTTAGGAATCCATTTCTTTCCAATCCTTACAATAAAAATTATAGTGAGTAGGCTTCAACGTCAATGATTAATTCTCAGAAGAAATGCGCACATGCTGATATAATTATTCATTTTGTCTTGCAGGGTTATTCTAAATCTGAGAATCAGGAAGAGAGAAGTGAGATATGGAGGGTTAGAAAGATTGACACATGATAAAATATCTTAATACATGTTAACTTTTTTCTTTCATCACATATATGTACACGAGTTTGTCATGGGGGAAAACTTTTTTGACTAGTGATTGAAGATGTTGAGAAGGGAAACTCTGGTTCTAATTAGTTGCCTTGAGAGGTATTCAACTCCTACTTCTAAATTCTGAATGCATATCTCCAAATTTTCCAAATGGCTTTGAAAATTATCAATAGGCGAAGGCTTGTGATTGATGAGAGACATCAAAGCAGCATCCACCTTTTCAATTACATTTGTGTCAGCCTCTGGAAAGTCACATCCCAATGTATTTGGTTGCATCAACTTGGAGATTATTGACCGTCTGTTCTGTTTTGATTGTCCCTTTGAGCCAGTTATAAACAACAACAGGGATTCTAATGAGCTCATGGTGACTACTTCTGATTCTTTTAAGATTCCAAGCATGGACAATGTTTTATTGTTTTTGTTTGAGGAAGCAACCATGAGCTCATTCTTGAATCCTTTCAAATTTCCTAAGGCCTTCCGAATCACTTTTTTCATCTGCTTCCTAGATGCCAAGTATTTTCCACTTTCAATTAATAATCCATCTTTAGCATCTCTTCGCCGGCGAATAGCTGACTCAAGTTCATGCATGTTTTCCTTTTGTTGCACTAGACAATCTTTAATTGTATCACAAATATCCAAGATCCTCACAGATCCATCTAATAGTTCATCAACACATTTGTTGCTACATTCTCCTGCCAAGGCTTGCTGAGTGATTGGCAATTGGAGAAGCTTATCAGCACACTCATGCAAATCCCGCAAGCCATTTAGCTTGTAGTTTATTGAAGATGATGTCAAAGAAGATGTGGCTTCAGAATCCTTCAATCTTTGTAAATGCTCTTCAAATTGTGATGTAAAGGGGTGAGGTGCAGAGGGCAAGCTGTTGCTGCGAAGATGAAGAGAGCTTTTTGTGTTTGTTTCACCAACTGCCATTTTCTCTTCTCAGAGAAGAACTAGCTTGGTGATAAATAAAAAAAATACAAGTTGTTCTAAAGTTCTGATTAGTACTTCCACTGTTTGGTAATGTACTCAATATATATATATAGGGAGAGCAAACTAATTGAATAGACATGAACAACATTTTTAATTTCAAATGTCACAAAGTGAGCATGCAACTAAATTATCCTTATTTGGATCTTATCATTTCAGTGCTACCACAACAATGTTTGCCCAATGCTTCCCTTGAACCAAGCTTCACAACCCATACTGCAATTTTTTATTTTGGGGATCAAATGAATATGGCATCTACCTTAGATGTGATACAATTGTGATATCTTCATCATTTGAGGTCCATGATATAAAAACTCAAGCTGTGAACTACACGAGAGAAGGGTATTGGAGTAGCATTATAATCTGATTTTTTTGTCTGCAGGAGGAGAAGCAGTTCTATTTATAAATAAGAATTTGTTTCAGGACAAATAAAAGGGGGTATCTCTTTATCTTCAGACATATATGGTTGGTCATATCTGGATTATAATTTTGATGCATTGTTCCCAACTCATAATTGATTTGTTGATGTTAATGTACATGCATGTAGCTAATGAATAATCATACCCTGCCCAGCTACAATGCAATAATAACCACCTTGTATATATTTTATAATTCCATATCCGATTTGATTCATATGAACGTGGAATCAGTAGCAATAACCATAGATTTTTCTTATTTTTTGGGTACCAAACACTTTACCTTCTCATTTTCTGTGTGTAAGAGAAATAATTACCATATTTACGAGTTTTCAATCCCTCTGGGTTGACTGATATGAAGCGATTCGACAGGTGAAGAGGTTCCATCTACAAGAAAAAAAATAATACAAATATACCGAGAAATATATGGAATAAAATAAAATAAAATTATACTAGAGCAGGAAAATTGATCACGTAAGTCATAATCCCATCATTCTGTTTATCCAATGCAAATACGAAAATAGATATATTTGGAGCAACCTTTTTATTACCCCTGGTTTTATCAAAGTATTAGCTTGCAAAATGGTTAAATTTACAAACTAGAATTGTAATTATTATATATCATGTTATTTCATAAAATTTTATCATTAAAATAACAATTGAATTATCTAGACATAGACCCGCACGATGTGAGAATAAAAAAAGAAATTGTTTAAATTAAAAAATATTATTTTGTTAGTTAATATATAAGTTATATATTCTTTTTTAATTATGTAATATAAGTTTTTTATTGATTTTTTACAACAAATAAATTTATTATTATTTGTAATAGGATTTGTAAATAAAAAATATTATTATAAATATTTTTTATATTTCAATCGTTATTTTTTTTTTTAGATTCAAATTCAAAAATATAAGATTCAAGTAAATCTTTTAAAAAGTTCAAAATTAAAGATAATATATTCAAATAAATATTTTTATAACTAAATTATAAAACAGTCTAGTAAAAAATATATATATATATATATATATATATATATATTCATTATTTTCAAATATGTAAGTCAAATTTCTTTTAATTGTTATTTAAAATTAATATTAATAAAAAAATTGATTATTTTTCTTATTAATGAACATAAATGTCAATTAATAATAATTATTAGGGTTTGACAAAAGTAATTTTTTAATAATGATTTATAATTAACATTAGTATTAATATTAATATTAATTACTATAATATTTATTTTTTTTTTTGAAACAGAAAATGTAATCAAATTAAATTTTTTAAATAGTAAATTAATGCTCGAACATTTTAATCTACGATTGATATTAATTAATATTACTTCATTTTTATTTATAATTAAAATTAATTTGTTTGTAACCAAAAATTTAACAAAATCTAATCTCTAAATTAATAAAATCATTAATTCATATATAATGACATATTAAACGTAATTTTAAATTATCACACATGTGTGACAAATTGAGAGAAAAGATAAAAATTTGACAAAGATTATCACGTGACTATGTATCAATTCTCATATTATGCCTCACAAATTGAGAATAGTAAAAAAAGGATGAAAAAAGTAATACCTTCTATTTCTGACGAAGATTATTATGTGAGATGAAAATTAAATAAAGAGGGTAGAAAATAAATTAAATAAAATGTAAATATCTAATATAGAGGATTGAGGAGAAAAAAAAGGAAGAAAAAGTAGTACCTTTCAATTTTGACAAAAAATTGTCATGTGAAATGAAAAATAAAGGAAAAAAAAGGAAGAGAGAAAAAAGTAGTAGCTTTTTGATGACAATGATGATGAAATAAAAATTAGACAATAAAAAATAAGAGTTAAATTAAATAAAATGTGGAGAGATGTAATATATAGAAAGCAAAGGAAAAATATAATAGAACATAGAAGTTTAGAGAATTTGCCACATTGAAAAATATGTTGACATGACAATGTGTAAAATTAGTTTTATAATGACATGTCGACGTAATAGAATGTAACTCAGCTTTTATATATAAATAAATAGATAATAAAAAATAAGAGTTAGATTAAATATAATGTAGAAAGATGTAATATATAGAAAGTAAAGGAAAAATATGATAGAAGATAAAAATTTAGAAAATTTGCCATATAGACAAAATATGTTGGCATGACAACATGTAAAATTAATTTTATAATGACGTGTCGATGTAATAGAATGTAACTCAGCTTGATAAAATGTAAATATGTAATATAGAGGGTTGAGGAAAAAAAAAGAAAGAAAAAGTAGTACCTTTCATTCTTGACAAAAATTATCATGTGAAATGAAAAATAAAGAAAAAAAGGAAGAGAAAAAAAATAATAGCTTTTTGATGGCGATGATGATGAAATAAAACTTAGATAATTAAAAAATAGGAATTAGATTAAATAAAATGTAGAGAGATGTAATATATAAATATGATAGAAGATAGAAGTTTAGAGAATTTGTCACATAGATAAATATGCTGACGTAACAACACGTAAAATTAGTTTTATAATAACGTGTTGACATAATAGAATGTAACTTAACTTTTATATATATTTTTGACAAAAATTGTCATGTGAAATGGAAAATAAAGAAAAAACAAATGAAGAGAGAAAAAAGTAGTAACTTTTTCATAACCATGATGATAAAATAAAAATTAGACAATAAAAAAATAAGAGCTAGATTAAATAAAATGTAAAGATGTAATATATAAAAAATAAAAGAAAAATATGATAGAAGATAGAAGTTTAGAGAATTTGTTACATAAACATATTAGTTTTATAATAATGTATTGACGTAATAGGATGTAACTCAATTTTTATATATAAATAAATAAATAGATTTATTGATTGATTGTGCACAAGATGCTATATATTGAAAAATATAAATGCCCCTAGTTCGTTCAACTAGTGATTGAGGATGTTGAGAAGGGCAACTCTGATTTTAATTTAACGCCGAAACTGTGACAACTATGACTCAAGATTCATGTCCTTCTTCAAGTTCTTGTATGCACTGTCCCAGTCTTGCCAACTTAATTTGCAAATAATCAGTTTAAATCCTCCAACATACTAGGGATCACGTACAACGAACGTGATGGATTTTTTCCCGATTATGTGGAAATTTCTGGAATATTATTCCCAAATAATTTTTTTATAGCACAAATTTGTGTTGTGATGGTGATAATGTATTATGGATTTTGCATTGCTGTGTCTTTCTATCATATACAAAAATAGCATAAGGAAAGTGCTTATTGATTTGATTGTACTTGTAACAAGAGAAGCATCAAATGGTTCATTGCATTCAGCAAGTGAAAGTTGAGCTCATGACTTATAATTGAGGCAATAATACATTTTAAATCATTGTTCAACAACCAACCTAATCAGCTTCGATATTGAGCCAAAACACCATGTGGGTTTAATACTTGAACCAAGAGTCTACAGCATGGTTGGAGATAGTATACATAGAAACGTGATGATCTGAATTAGACCATAAGTCTAATTATTTTAATGATTTATAAGTCTAATTATTTTAGACAGTAATGCCTCAAACTTCTTAACACCTTAACTGTTCTAGCGTACTTGTTTCCAAACGAAACTCGAGTTATCTCTAAAGGAAAAGTGATACATGGGAGGTATAATAGAATTTGAGTGTTGGATAATATATTGTAATTAGTAAAATCTTAGTAACAATCATATCTAGTCTTGTAATTAGTAAACTCTTAGTAACAATCATGTACAAGTATGTGATACTCATAACGAGTCAAATGCTCAATCAATAAGGTCAAAATGAATTCAGTGATTATAGATGTTGAGAAGAGAAACTCTTGTCCTAATCAGTTGCCTTTCAAGGCGCTCAATTCCTGCCTCCAGACCCTGAATGCACAACTCCAAATTTTCCATATGATTTTGGAAAATCTCAACAGAAACATTACAGCAAGTCTTGTGAAAGAGAGACTGCAATGCTGTATCCACCTCCTCAAATTCATTTGTGTTTGATTGGTCAAAAACACAGTATACTCTATTAAGCTGCATCAACTTGGAGAAAATCAACCACCTTCTGTCTTTTGGTTTTCCTCCTGAGCCAGACATAAAAGATAACAAAGACTCGAGTTGAACCAAAGAGACAGTTTCAGCTTCTTTGAATTTGCTGATCATTGACAAAGTCTCATTGTCTGTGTTAGAGGAAGTTAAAACGATACCCTTCTTAAATCCCTTGAATTTTTCAAAGGCCTTCTGAATAGTCTTCTTTGCATTCTTCCTTGATGACAAGTATTTGCCACCCTCAACTTTGAATGCTTCTTCACCACCTCTCCTCCTGCACTGAAGTCCATTTATGCTTTCTGTAGATTTTAGCAGGACATCCTTGGCAGTACTACAGATATCAAGGAGCCTCAGAGACCCTTCTAGTAATTCATCAACCCATGTTTTGCAGGATTCTTGTGCCATGGCTTGTTGTATGGTTGGCAATTGAAGAATCTTGTCAGTAAGTTCATGCAAAGCATGCAAAACATTGAGTTTACTGCTTATTGATGATGAGGAGGTGGCTTCAGAAGCCTTCAATCTGTTCAAGTGCTCATCATGTTGTGATATGAGAGGGTGAGGTGCAGAGGGCACACTATTGGAGCGACTGTGTGATGTTTTCATGTTTGTAGCCATTGCAAGTCAAATTTCTTTCTTAGACAACTGAGACTATTACAATGATGTACTTGCTGCTACCATATGCTTCATATATATAGCCAAGTTGCCGAGGGAGACAAGAGGAATATACTTCACTCAAAGTGTCACAAAGTTGGCATCGAATATCATCGTCATGATATGGTTGTTTTGGACAACTTGGTGTTTGGTGATGTCTGTGAACTGCTTCCCTCGCACCATGGTTCCAGCTCATTGCCAATATTCAACTCAGGAATCTGCCATACAGGGTGCTACTGCTATGTGTCTCTGTGCATTCTTAACATTAAACAAGTCTCTGATTTAAAAATGAAAGGGTGCGTGTGAGTGATTCAGTGAAACTGTATCTTATCAGGTGATGCTCGATGCTTGTTTCCAAACCTCAGACCACTAACAATTAATGTATGAAACGATTTTTTTTTTTTTTTTCATTTTACATAAACGCCAGAAAGCTATTACTCTGCAAGATTGTTTACAGCTACTTTTATGCTTGGTTATGCATGATTCATTTGACTACAATATTTATTGTAAGTTGCTAGATAATACCCTAAACCATTTTGGATTTGTACACGGTGACTGCGAATCCAATATATTATACATATAGATAGACATCACCTATAAGTTAAAAAAATTATATTAAATCTTATATCTTCCATAAATTTTTGTATAAAATAAATTTAATTGATCAATCCGTTAAATTATATAATATTATATTTAAAATTGTATGTATCAAATTTCACATAATTTTAAAATTATTTAGTATTTATTTTATTATATAATATGATACTTAAAATATGTGTAAATATTTATTTTTAAATAATATGTTTAATTAATTTCAAATCATATGAAATATGATATACATGATTTTAAATATAATATTATATTATTCAACAGTTATATCAATTAAATTTGTATTATATAAAAAAATTATAAAAGTTATAAGATTTTGTGTAACATGAATTTCCACGACATAAAATACAAATAAATAAATAATGTCAAATGGTGTTTTCCATAAATTCAACCCCTTTAGTTTAAGAAACTATACTCATTACCTTTTTTTGCCTGCACAGTAAGAGGCGTTTTAATGCATGCAAGAAAGGCTAACACAAATATTACTTGCTGAACACAAATTCCAGATCTTTACTTACTATAAAAAGCTAGCTCATTTGATTCACACTTTCCGTGGTATTTATATTTACAAAGCTAGCATTTACTTTTTCAACCCGATACTTACTATAAAAATTTAAAATTATGACGAAAATTTGTACAAGGATTTAGAATTTTTCTTACTTGGCTAATAAATATTTTTTCACTTCACTGCACGAGGCAAATGAAAAATGAATTCACGGTAATTACTATGGTTCTATTTTTATTTTTTTTTGAAAATAACATTTACAGATGTTTCTTGACTAATAAAACTAGAAAAATATATTCTAAAATAAACTTTTTTCGTTTTTTTCCAAATAAAGTGAAGTGAAATGAAGAAAAAAATAAATAAAGAAAATGACAAGCAAATATTTTTGTTTGATAAAGATAAAAAATATTACAAAGATGGTGAGGATTGAACCTAGATCCTCGTACTTCTAACTACCCTAATTCCTTCTTATCTAACCACTAAGCTAATCCCAGTGATAAATGACAAGCAAATATAATTTCCCTTTCAATATTAAAAAACATTTCTAGTGTTTAATTTTAAATGAATGTCCGTCCATGATATGCGAAAAAGATGTTTTTACCAACAAAGGTGTGGATTATCTCAATGACGGGCAGAGTATCTGTTGTTGTTTTCTTTCCTCGTGTGTGTTTGTTTTCCAATTTTTTATTAAATATTTCTAAATCCTCCTGAAACGTCCTTTTCTTAATCCTATTACTTATTTTGTACAATTTTCATTTTTAAACATTAATATGTAGAGAAGTGTAACTTTCCTCTTTTTCATTTGCCATTAATATGTCTTCAATTGTAATGCTTGCATATTTCTACTAGTATTAATTTTCTCATTTTTCTTAAATGAAATAATGTAAAATGAAAATATAAAATAAATTAAAAGACTTAAATATATTTTAATTCTTTAAATTTAAGGTAAATTTATCTTTATCCCTTAAATTTAAAATTATTTATTTTTAGTATATGTAATTATCAAAAATTTAATTTTACTTAGATAATCAATAACATATTTAAAAATAATAAATTAAGACATAATATCAACTTAATTTAAAATGATATTCTCATTAACAAAATCAGTAATAGATAAATTTTATACAATATTTGACAAATTATTTAACAAAATTTAAATATAAAAATTAAAATAAATTTTTTAAAATTAAAAAACTAAAAATACTAGGTTAATTAAGTAGCTCTTTTTGTGAATTTTTTGATTGACTAGGATTGGATTAACTTTCTTAATTTATTTTTGTAAATCACTGTATATATAGGTTAGAGTACTTTTTGTACTCTTGTTAATTTTATTTTGCTTATAAAAATAAACTAAAAATACTAATTTAAATTTGAATGATAAATAATAAATTTACCTTAAATTTAAAAGATTAAATACATATTTAACTCATTAATCAACCCCAGACTATTTTAGAATTTCTGTGTATTTACATCTTGGAACACTTCTGTGATTGAATCTCAAGACACTATGAATAACCAGAGAAAATCAACATGTCGAGGCAGTCCATTAGCTTGGGGTATATAGTGAATTGTTCAGACACCCAAGTGAAAAATCAAATTATGTAAGTATTATAATATATAAATCAACATTCCAAAATTCCAAATATAAAAATGCTCGACATACTTCAGTCGTTTAGGGTGCATTAGTGAACTAACATGAATTAATAGCATAGTCCTACATTTCACATTGGAAAAAGGTTGAATTTCTAAAATTTGTTATTGCATAGTCCTACTGTTCAAATGAAGAATTTATTGGAACAAAATTATCTGAATGCATGTAATAACTAGTATACCCACCCGACTAAATCACAAATAATAAAACACCAGGCACAAAAGTCTTCAAATTGGTTCGTTTTCAAAAATAAACACTGCCACATTAACAATTCAAGTAAACAAAACAAGAATAAGACAACTGTCGAAAACACATGAAAGGAAACCAAAAATACAATCTCAGCCTTGGATTCGGCAACAATCTTGAACTGATAGAAGCTAGTATGAGATGCATCTCAAACTTCAAAAGAACAATACTTCACTATTCCTATCAATACTCCATAAGCTAAGATCAGTGCCACATCTAGGTGTTTGTTGCTCTGGTGTAAATTTGCTGACTAGCATGGGCAGATACCATCCTGATTGAACCTCTAGCCATCAATTCTCTTATAGCCTTCCTTGCAAGTGATCCATTAATCTGTAAAGTGCAGTAAAATGATAATATATTATTTATTAATTTATTTTTGCAATAGAAAATCACTCATATATTGCTCACCAATTGACAATAATAATGATCTTCAGTGCATACAAGTGCAAGTATGTATGTGCATCACAAAAGGGAAACTAATATAAGAAGACAAAAATGTGTGTGCATAACATTGTGAAACTGTTAGACCAACAAAACATACAACAGACTGTCAAGTTTACGCACTAATACAATGCTAAACTTTAAAATGACCTTTTATAAGCACAGACATCGAACATAAAGGTACCAATTGCAAAATGGGTAAACACAATGGGCTGATCAAAATGCATAACAAAAACATAAGTTAACACCTGCATGTAAGGATACTGCCACAAAGAAAATTTACAAATACAAATCTGAATTTTAAACCACAGGTACAATTACATATAGTGTGTCCTAAGAGAGGGCAACTCTTGAATCAGACATATATGCAGTATTTGTTGACTTGTCATAAAACTTTACCGACACTAAGTTCATTTACAATGTTACTTGAATACTGCCCTTGTAAACAAACAATTAAAGTGGGCAATTACCAGGAAAAATACATACAAGCCTGTAATAAATTTAGATCCTCCAGAAATTAAGAAGCAATATGAAGGTAATGTATGAAGTTGATCATCATTGATGGAAAAATCAAACATTTTAGTCTTTCAAAACATACAAGCAACCGAATACAATGTCAAGGATGCGAGAGAATACTGTCTCTTGGTATTCTGTGAACAATTTACCATTTGCAATTTAAAAATTCAAATACCTAAAATCTAACCAAAACACTAGCCAACAAAACAGTATAAGAGAAAATCACGTGTACAAACTTAAATGGACAAAAGACTGTCAAAGTTGTTTACACACAACAAGAATTCCAGGATTAGTATATGTTTGGTTCAGCTTATGTTTAGGAAAACAATTCACTTATTCTTTAAAAGTTTTCTAGTGAAACTGACAACATATAACAACAATTTCTCCAAACACGCATTTAGTCTAGGGTAATGAATCAGCAAGGTGTGAAATAACACAAAAAAAGAATCAATGACAGACCAAATAATGTGGTAAGCACAGACTCAAAAAATAAAAAACAGCAACAGACATGAAAGAAAAACCGATATATATGATATTTCATCAATATGAACAAATCTGGATAACAAGAAATTAATAAACAAAAAAAAAACATACCCTCAAACGATCAGAGAGAATGGAAGGAGTGATGAGCTTGTATTTGGGTGCTTCAGAGAGAAGCTTGTCATATGTGCCCTGATCAAACAGCACCATGTTGTTCACCTTCTCCTTTTGCTTTCCCTTGCTCCACTTCTGTTAACACAAATTTTACCATAATATCACACATCAATCACTCCTATTGCTTTAATGACACAAAAAAAAACCCTAATTTATGATTAAAAAAAACAAAGGTAAAGGCACCGACCCAGTGTTACCCAATAGACCAAACGACAATTAAATTAAGAAAAAATGAAACTTTAAGAAAGAAACGAACCTTCTTCTTCTGCTTGCCACCGCCAGATTTGGCAGGCTTGGAGGAAGGTGGGGGAGCCTTGTCCTTCTTTGGTGCCTGCAAATAATTAACCCGCCAACTCAATTACAGGGATGAGATGAATATCATCGAGGAGGAACAGAAAAAAAAAATTGCAGAGAAACGCACCATGATGAATTCTGTTGTGACTTGCGAGAAGGAAAAGCCAAGATTTCACTCTTACAAGCAGAGGCGCAACTACATGAGTACGCAAACCCTAGGGTTTTTTATAAGAGACACACTACAAGTCATAATGCCATCTGGTTTATACTACGTCGTTTTACCCGGATTTGGGTAGGCCCAACGCAAAGCCCAATAGGATGAAGTTTAAAACTTAATGATACTAATTTTATTTTTTGGACTACAGAGGCTAAAAGCCCAAACTAGCCATTACAAAAAAAAAACAGTTACTTTAGAGATAAAGAACTGAATACATGTGAGACAAGTTTTGAACTGACTTTAAAAAAATAATAAAATAAAACTGAAACAGATTTAATCCTTTTCATTATCATGAAATAGACCAAAATAATATGTAAAAAACAATGATGTACCACAAATAACAAATAAAAAGTATTAAATATCAAAAAGTGGGAATTTGGAAATTAAGAAAATATTCCACGTATTGCTCGCTTTTGATATTAAAACTATAAAAATATCATATTATGGGGGTAAGAATAATATTGTATTCATTATTATTGTAACAAATAAAAAGGTAGCGGAACAACTCTCACAAACAATATTATCAACCTTATACTTTGAATAAATAAATGAGGAGTGTTGTATAAAATTAAAACTTAAGTTTATTTTTTTAAAAATCTGGTCTTATCTATTAATTTATTTAAAAACTTATTTTATATTAATAAAATTAAATAAATTAATAAATTTAATTTTTAAAAATCAATAAATTAATTTTTAAATATACGTGTAAATTTTTTTGAATTTATGAAATAAAAAAATAGTTTAATTTATTATTATTATTATTATTATTATTATTATTAAAATTTATAATTTAAAATAAAAATAAAAGTTAACGTAAGAAGAATAATCCATGCACAAGTGTTATAAAAATAAAATGATTAAAATATTAATAATTTGATTATTTTTTATCCAAAGAAATTTTCTAAATATTCTTCATATCTTATTTGTAATATTCTTAATAATTAATCGTGAAGATAAAAGAAAAGAGTAGATAAAGATATAGTTACTAAATTTTCTATTTTTTATTGCTTGATTTGGTAAAATATTTAAGAGTAAAATATTGATAATTTAATTATTTATATTACAAAATTATTTAATTGTCATGTAATATATATATTTTATTATATTATTATAGAAAATAGACTGATTTATCCAATCTAACAATTTTTTTAAGTTCAAGTCCAATCTTTTTAAATAAATAAATTTTTGAAATTTAATTAAATAAATTATATCAAGTCAAATCATAAGTTTTTATTCAAAATCTGACGCATTCTCATTCCCACTTATATTAAATTCATTTAGTAAATAATATGTGGAGACATTCCTCTATACAAATAGTTCCTTCTAGTAGTTATTTTGGATATCAATTTTAATTTTAATATTTTTTTATTTTTCTTAAATAAAGTTAATGATATAAAAATTTATATTTATATATATATATATATATATATATATATATTCAATAAATGTTTAAAGTACGAACTTATTCTTTTTCTAAAAAATTATATAAGCCGTTGAATTTTATAATAAATCAGTAAATAATTATACAACAATAATTTTTTATTGGTCGACAATTACTTTACATTATTTGTACGTGATCATTAAATTCTCAAAGAATTATACTTAAAGAATATATAGTATATTATATTAAATATTTTATTTATTTAGATATTTAAATATTTTGTAACTTTTAACATGATAAAATATTCTTTTAAAGAAGTTTCATGAAATTCTTATTCAGCCAATTTTTAATTTCTAATTTCAGTCAACAAATAATCTTTGAATCCTCTCTTTTTAGACCACACGCACAGAAAGATCCGTCAATTAACTTAAAATTAGCTAGTGAACTTGAGAATGATGTATACATTGAATTTCTTTCTCTCTTTCTCTTTTTTTTTTATCTCTATATACCACAAGAGCCTAACTCAGTTGAATTGTATACGTGCCAACATGAATTATTGTAAATCTCCGAATATCATATTAGATTTATATGAGTAATATAAATATGAAAACTATTATACTTTTTAGTAATGCTATAGCAGAAAAGCATTAAACTAACAACTTTTTTATGCAGTCTACTGACGTATTCAAGTTTTTGCAATAAATTTCTAGATGGAACCAGTTCCAATTTTTGTCTTTATATAAGAGGTATTATCCTGTATTCTATTTGAAATGCCATAACCAAGCATGCACCTGATCTTTAACTTCAAACCGTGGGGAATCAGTTTGGTAGCTACGTACTATAGCAGCAAACAAGTTATGCTTGAAGGGAACACCCATATCTATAGTGCCCCCATTGTTTTAATGATTCTGTGGAAAGAACCTGCATGATGTTCAATAATGCAAGAATCTGGAACCATATCATAAGAACCTTGGAATGACTGATTGAAACATTAATGTCACATCAGTTTTTATTCTAATTTTGTAAGACATTGATTATTGATTATTGTTAAAATTATTGTACATATCTCTATTAATTACTCGCATTGGACTAAGATCATTTTTAAGACAATTTATTATTACAATATGAAAAATGCCATGTAGATGTCAACTTTTTTTCTTCTCTCCCTTAGTATTTTCAGTTCATAGATCATGGACTAAGTTTATTTATTAATAATGTGATTATAGCTAATTGGAAAGATCAAGAATGAGATTCTCAATTAAATATAGGTCGATTTACAACGTGTAAATGTAATATGTCTAATATTATACGCATTGAATTATTTGAACAAATAATTTTTCTTTGGTGCATGCAATGTTCCATGGAAAGGCAGAAGTTCCATCTTTTTTCATTATTGGTGGGTCTATTATTGGGGGATGAAGGGGAACTGGAAACGTTTGAAAGTTGAAGCAATTAAGGCTTTTTGAGCTTTGAGGGAATATAAGAAGAAGAAAAAATGCAAACTAATAGAAAAAGAGTGCATGTCAATTTCTAAGTGAGAAATAAGTTAGGAATTTCTTATTTCTTTGACAAGTGTATGTAGTTTTGGGATATGCTAAAGGGATAAGGCGTGTATAAGCAGTGTTTCTCAATATTTTAGTATCTTACTGAAAAAAAAAAAAACAGAATACACTTTTTGACACAATTCTAATTTTGATTTTTTACATCATCGTTTATTTTCAAATTTGATTTTATTATTTCAATCGTGTAATTTTGATTTGTTTGTAAATTTGACATCCAATTAATATTTAAAGAAAGTACATGACACTAATGATTGTATACATTCATGTCAACATAAGAACACATCAATGCCGACACCGCATCAATATTTCTGTCAAATATTAATTATTATAAAATTAATAAGTTGATCGAAATTCTACATATAAAATAATTAGGATCCAATTTACAAATTAAAAAATAGATTTAAATATCTTTTTAATCCCTTAAATTTAAGAAATTTATTTTTTCCTCAAATTTAAAATTATTGTTTTTAGTCCTTATAATATTCAAAAAATTTATTTTAATTTCTTAAGTTATCAATAACATATTTGAAAGTGATTAATTAAGATAATTATACAATATTAACCAAATTTAATGTGATATTTTCACTAATAAAAATACTAATAGGTAGATTTTATGCAATAATGTTTGATAAATTTTTTAACAAAATTTGAATATAAGAACTGAAATGATTTTTTAAAATTATAGAAACTAAAAATAATATTTTTAAATTTAAAATATTAAAAATAAATTTATCTTAAATTTAGAAAACTAAAAATATATTTAAGTCTAAAAAAAAATAATACTATGATGGTTAAGATTGTAATAAGAGAAAAAAGTGTAGATGTGGACAATGAGGACAATGGTGGACCTACATACAGTTTAGAGACTTCATTTGTATCTTCTGATTTTAAAGGTAATACAAATATGTCTTCTGTGATATAATTTTTGGCTCCCAAAATATATAATTTTAACTCATTCCTCTTGATTCCTTAATTATTGTCTATTTTTATCTTTTATTAATTAGTTTGTTTTTTATATTTTAATTTGTTTTAATTCACTTTTTATTCTTAATGAGTGTTTCATTTTTTCATATAATATTTATCTTTATTTTCACATAATAATAAATTATGATGGGTATAATATTTTTTACTTCAATAATAATTATTTTAAAAATTATACATACTTTTTTTTTATTCATTAGTTGAAACTTGAAAGTGAATAAAAAGTTATGATAGTATATAGAAACTAAACTCTGGATTTTTTTATTATTTAATATTTTATAAAATTAAAAATATAATATTACAAATTTTAGATCAAGTTTATTTATATTTCATAAAAAAAAAATTTACATAAATAATTGTTATTTAATTTTATATATATCCTTAACTGCTTATTCATAAAAAAAATATTATAAAATAGTTAAAATAAATTTTGTTTCATATCAAAATGATAGAAAAATCATTACATGTATAACATAATAAATAAATTGTATGCATAGAAGATAAAGACATTATCTCATTATTTTCTATATACCAAAAGGGGCATAGTATTTTGTCGCCTGGTGGTATTCTTTTGCATTGATAATTGATTCCTGTGTCATAAATTTTTTTAAAAAAATAATAATAAGTTAAATAATTATGTTTATAATATTTCATAACTAAAGTCAGATTATGTATAAATATTTTACTTTTTTTTTCTTCACTTTTATCAAGTAGGAAAATGAATTCCATGATACCTTATTTAAATATTACCAATTGCCATCCCTCATGACAGTGATAACCAATAAAGCAATCAAAATCGATACCAAGATTATTCCTCTCAGTCCAAAGATTGTTTAGAAAGAATAACATCCAAGGTTCGACACATAATTCAAAGTATTTTTCACTTTTTACTTAAAATTATTTTTTCACTCAACAGGTGACATACTAATTTCTCATTATAAGACCCTCTTATATATAATTTTTATTGGTAGACCCTCTTATATATAAATTTTGAAAACAAACCTAAAATTAACTTCTTAATTAATACTTCTTTTGAAAAAATAAGTCACAAAATAAATATTTTATTATTTTTTTAATATAATATTAATTACTTCTTTTCTATTTACATCTTTCATAGTATTCTTTTAAAAAAATATTATTGTAAGACTATACTTATTATAAAACAGAAAAATTAATTATTTGAGGTCATTCTACTTTGACCAATACATGATATATCATGATTCAGAGGAGCATCTTATATGAATTTATACTTAAAAAATCGTGAAAACATACTTTTATCTTTTATTTTTTAATTTATTATACTAATTTAATTAATTTGGTGTTATATTACTAACTATAACAGATGTCACATCAAATAAGATCACACATTGTTGAGGTAATTTACTTGTGAAGAATTTAGTATTTGATTTTAATTATTTTAAAAAAAAATCTTTTAGATTAATATCGTAGTAGATTAAAAGATACTTATAATAGGACAATAAATAAAAAAACAAAACCAAAGTAATTTTCTTAAATTTAGAAGATCAAACCAGAAAAAGAAAAAAAAGATTATAGATGTACATTTTAGCCTTTAAAATTGAACTCAAAACAATTTTTTTTTTTGTAGTAGTGATAATTTTTCCATTATTTTAATATATAAAAGGTTTGATTAATAAAAGTATAAAACTATTTAACAATATGCCCTTGTCAATTCATTAAGAGTGTGCTTGTTTGAAGTTATTTTATCATAATTTTTTAGAATATAGAAGTAGAAAATATATTTTTCGATGTTTGTCAAAATATTAAAATTTTATCTGGAGGAATAGAACAAGTTTTGAAAAAGAAATAACTTTCATGTTTCATTAATTATATATATTTACATAAGAGATGTGGATAAGTTGATTTTGATAATGTAATTTTTTTTAATCAATAAAAATCAAATTTGTCACTTAAAAGTCTATAATAATTCAAACTCTTAATTATTTGAATTAAATTTTTTTTACTCTCATTTGTATATATATTTTTTTAGAATAGTGGATTTGAATTTAATTCAACATTACAAAACTAACTTATAAGATGAGGGTTGTTTTCTCTTTATATATTATGTAATTGTTTAATTTTTAGTAGATGTGAGATTCAAATTTTTTTCTAATATACCCTCTCACGTCTAGTACTATTAGACTTGATATGTAGATAAATGATGGGTAATCAGTTTTTAATGATCTATGATAGGTAATTCTTTTTAAGGATTTATGATAGTTTTAATACCATATTAAAATAGTGAATTTGAGTCTAACTCAATCTTACAAAACTGATTTATAAAATGAGAAATATTTTCCTCTTATATACTATTTAATTATTTAATCTCTATTGAAGTGAAACTCAAATTTTTTCTAATAATTTGAATTTCTTCCGCCCTCACTTTCATAAAACAAATCATCGACATTAACCAAACATTTTTTTTAAAATATCTAAAAATACCATTCCCAATTACATTCGTAATACTAAAATCATAATAGATAGCATTAGCAAGTCAGGTGCCATGGTGAATGACGCAGCAAAAAGGGAGATATAATTTGATAAATATTATAACACAGGGAAAGGATAAGAAAAGTAGATCATGGAATATTTAGAGATTTTTATTTAAGCATTTTTAAAAAGCTTAGATTCTTGTCTATAAAAAAAGAGCCGAGCCAAAGCAAGAGGAACAGCACCACTTCCTAGAACCAAACAAACCCACTCACTCTGTTTTCTCTGTTCAAACAGAGTTCACTTCACATAATAATAATAATAACAACAACATTTAACTTTCCTTCGTTTCTTCACTCTGTTTCCATGCTTCCCATAACACTGTTCTTCACACCATCACGTTCCGTTGCCATCGACAAGTTTCTATTCCCCTTCCAGTGACTCTCTCTCTCTCTCTCTCTCTCTCTCACACACACACACACACACACAAACACACGTTGTTCTATAATGGACTCGTTCAGTTTCAACAACCTCCAAGCAGAGAAAGCCAACGCGATTCTGAAACACCGGAAGCTCCAAAGGGTTGCAAGCTTGCTGCGAATCCTGGAAGTGTGCGCTGTTTTGGTCTTGGTATCGAGGGTCTCCATGCATCTACCAGTTGCACTCAGAAACTCCGGCGAGTACTTCAGAGACTTGTCTCTCTTCATGCATAGTCCTCGCTTCGTTTTCTTCGTCGGAAACGTCATCATCATCACGCTCTTCGCGCAGTTCTCCGCTCAGGGCTCCGCCAGAAACCTTGGAGAACAGAACCTGTATCAGGAGTTTGTCCACAACAGCGCAAAAGATCAAAGGCACGTGGAAACGGTGGTGGTGGCAGAGTGCGGGAAAAAGAAACAGAGGATGAAAACAGGGGAGAAGAAGGTTTATAGAAGGTGTGAGACGGAAGTGGTGAGAGAGAAACGACGTCGTGTGCTGAGAAGGTGTGAGACTAAGAGGATTGAAGGTGAAGAAGTGGTGAAAGTCTCGTGCCCTGAAGATGGGATGAGTAACGAGGAGTTTCGTCGCACTGTGGAGGCTTTCATTGCAAGGCAACAGAGGATTCGAAGGGAAGAAGAAAATGATTATTATTATTATTTAATGTAAAAAACTGTATTATGTGTAAAGCATGTAGATAAAGTGTTGAATGAAAAAAATAAAATGTATGAATGTGTATGTGTGAACAAGGGTGCAAATTGAGTATTATTAATGCATGTCATGTCATGTCATGTCATGGGAGTATTCTGATTCTTTATATGTTAGAATGGTATGCAGTTGAGACTTGAGGGGACTTCCAGGAGGCACAACACACAACAGATGCTATTCTCCCTGTTCGACTAATTATATGCATTTTCATTTTTCATAAAATAAAATATCTTTGATGCCAAAGTTGCCACGTGCTTTATTTAAGGAAAAAAATTAAAGGAACATTCCATCTTCGCTTGTGTTTGGTCTAGAGAAAAACAAAAGGATGAGAAAAAAGTGAAAAGAAATAAAAAATGAAAGAAATAAATAATAAAATAAAATAAAAATTTGGTTATTTAATTGAAGAAAAATAGATTAAAAAAAAATGTGTAAGAATTAAAATATATATAAGAAACGAGAGATAAATAAATAAGTGAGATTCATTACTTTTTTACTTCTCTCATCACTGTTTCTCTTCAACCGAACAATCTTTTTTATTTTCACTTTCTTCATCTTACTTTTTATCTATTTCTTCACTACCAATCAAGACATTAGCTCTATGGCTATGGGCAGAAAAATTAATAGATGAAAATAAAGAAAAAGAAAAAAAAATGAAGTAAAAATGAGATGGGAGAAAGTATAATAAAAAATGTTAATGTATTCTTTGACACTATAAATTATTCCATGAATTAATTCAACATGGTACATGAGTTGTTGCATAAGTTCGATTTTCACAAATAAAAAAGAGAACTAGTATTGTAGCACATTTTTATGATTTCAAAATTTCAACTAATTTTCATGTAAGATGTATCTGAAATTTGTAATTTACAAAAAAGAAAAGAAAAGAAAGGTTAATAACACTTAATAAGATTAGTTGAGACTAAAATAGTTATGAAACATATAATATTTTTTAATATACTTTATTATTGATCGAAGTATAGTAGAAATTACATTTGTATAGATCTCACTTCATACTACATATTTAACAAGTCTTGCCGATAACTTTATAATTTTTAATAATTTTAATAAATAATAAAGAGTGTTAAAAAATATTAAAAATATGTTATCAGCGCTTCTCATGATAATAATAACCTTTTATTTAATATTAAAAAATAAAACAGATAGTATTCTCGCTATAAACTTGTCTCTTCTGGAAAACAAGGGAAAACATGACCATATTTGTCTTGAGGCATAAATTATATTTCAACAATTTTGATGTTATGGTAAAAGTAATAATTAAAAAGTAAACAATTGTGGATTAAAAGTTACATCTAAATAAAAATGTATCGAGCAAATAAGCTTCAAGGAATAAAAAAATAAGAGGATAAAGAATATGGGTATAGAATATAAGGATTTTTAATCTGCAGAAGCTCAATATGCCGATCTCTGTCATGTGACACTACGACTAGCATTATATTTCCGGCTTTTGCATTATGACTCACTTTTGAAAAAAAAAAAATCTACAAATAGAAGAAAATGTAGTAACTATTGGCACTCTTGTCATTCAAGCTTGAGAACTTATATAGAGAGAAAGGAGAGAAATTATATTTTATATAATAAGTATGTACAACAAATTATAGAAAAAGAGTAAGAGAAGGAAAAAAAAAAAGAAATATGTAACTTATACAAATACATTATCATTTATATAAAATAATATAAATTATGCAAATAAGAGAGATAAAAATGTGGGAAAAAAAAGGGTGATGTAATAGAAAGAAATAGAAAAAAGAATATAAATTGTCCTATAATTTGATTATTTAAAGGTGGTATCTCTTGTCTCTTGGTGCGATATTTTGATTTTCTGTGAATAAAAGGCCTTCTCCGTCAGGCACGCTTGATTCCTGAGAACACATGCAAGTGTGAGATATTTGTTGGTTCCTTTATCGCTTTTCTCACTCGTGTGACCCAACCCAACTAATTAACAAGACCATTGTATGTAAAAAGATGAAATTAATCACGTGTTTTATATCACATATATTTCCTCTCTTCTTAATTATTATTTTTTTTTAATTTTTTTTCACATCTACCTAATATTTCCGTGAGAAATGTGTTTCTACGTGTGTGCTAGTATTTGCTGTTGGGCAATCCATCCTAGCACTGGATCAGATTTGTTAGAGATATGAAATAGTGTGTGAACTATATGAACTTGTATTGCACTTGATATTTGATTCACTCAATATTCTTAATTCCCATATCAAGTCTTTACAATAAACTCTTTTTGTTTGGTGTGTCATCCGAATTTTAACTTAAGTAACTGGACTGTTATGTTTATGTGAATGGTTCCAAGTTTGGTACATGGTGCTTAGGAATGAGAATTATATCTACCATATATTTTACTACACACAAACCTAGGATATTCATATGGTAACTGATGCCAAGGATTCACGTTGTTTTAAGCCTTTTAGTAAAAGCCATCTTACCCAAAAAAAAAAAAACAAAAGGTGTACGGTAAAATAATAAAAAGAAAGGCCCAACCCAAGGACACGAGAGACAGCCCAATACGAACAACCACCAAATGACCAAATTCAGACCAAAAAATAGAAAACAAAAAGGCATAAATGAAGGGTTGATGATATATACACCTCTTTTTTTCTATAAGTACACCTCCTTTTTTTAAAAACTAATTAAAATTTAAAATATTTTTACCTTTTTATTTTTAATTTTTTAATTTTACATCCATAATATTTAATTTAGTATTTTTTTTCACACATCTTTCCTTTTTTTTTCAATTTTTACATGCATCTTCTTTCCTTTCCTTCACTCTACAGGTATTTTTAATTCTTTTAGTTTTACATCACTTCTCCCCTCTCCTCTTTCAATTTCCGTACTATTATCTCCTCTCTCCCCACTTTTATTTTTCACATGTGTAAAATATAGAACTAGTTTTCAACAATATTACAAGGGTGTGTGTGGCTTTTTTGACAATATTATAGGTATGTGCGACTTTCTTGACAGTTTTTGCCGAATTAAACATATTATTTTTTTCTTCTAACACTTTCTTTATTGAGTACATATGAAAAAGTGGAAGAGGTGAGGGAAGAATGTAAGAATCAAAAAAGTTAAAATTACCTAATAAAATAAAATAGGTGAGAAATTAAAAGAAGATAAAATAATACATGTGAAATCTATAAAAAAACAAAAAAGAAGAACGAACAAATTGAAGGTTGAAAAAAAAAAGAACTACAAATATTTTATAATTTTTTTTAAAAAAATAATGTACTTATAAAAAAAAGAGATTTATATATGATGAGGGTAAATGAAGGCGTGTCGTACCTGAGTCTGAGAGAAGGGTAATTGTGGAATTGAGGAGCATTTGAGAGCAGCGTGCGTGAAGGGGAAGTTTACCAGCAGCGCGAGAAAGAAGGAAGACTTGGTAGTCATCGTCACCGAAGAAAATGCAAAAGAAGGCTTACTAGCATAAAAAACCTCACAAAAACGACGACCAAAATTGAACGACCTAACAGTTTTAAATTGCAAGAATAAAATCCTAATTCACATACTGAATTCCAACAGCAGTCAAGCCCGGCCCATTCGAGCCCAGTACGGCCCAAGAATGACTCCCAAACTCCAAACAGTAGTCTCCACCGCAGCCTCGGTGGCAGCCACCGTGATGCTCCTCCGGTCCATCGCGCGCAACTACCTCCCGCCGGAGCTCCACCGCTACCTCCGGTCAAAGGTGTCCGAGTTCCTGTCGTCATTCTCCTCCGAAATCACCCTCGTGATCGACGAGTTCCACGGCCTCACTCCCAACCCTCTCTTCTCCGCCGCCGAGCTCTACCTGAAGCCCCAGGGCTCCCCCGGCACAAAACGGTTCCGCGCCACCATGCCTCCGAAGTCGCGCCACGTGTCCATCCTCGTGGACCACAACCACGAAATGAGCGACTCCTTCTCCGGCGCCACCTTCCGGTGGAGGCTCGTCTCGCAGCGCGTCCCCCCCAAGTACGTCCAGCAAGACGCCTTCAGCGGCTCGTACATGTCCGAAGTGCGATTCTTCGAGCTTCGGTTCCACAAGCGGCACAGGGAGATGGTTCTGGCGGAGTACCTGCCGCGCGTCATGGCGGCGGCGGAGGAGGCGCGGCAGCGGAGGAAGACGCTGCGGCTCTTCACTCTGAGGGATCTGAGAATGAGCATGGGGAGGAGAGGGGAGATGTGGGAGTCCGTGAACCTGGATCATCCCGCCACGTTTGAGACGCTGGCCATGGATTCGGAGACCAAGGAGATGATAATTAGGGATTTGGATAGGTTTTTGGAGAGGAAGGATTTGTATAAGAGTGTTGGCAAGGCGTGGAAGAGAGGGTACATGCTTTCTGGCCCTCCTGGTACCGGCAAATCGAGTTTGATTGCTGCTATGGCCAATTATCTCAACTTTGATGTCTATGACTTGGAACTCACTGATCTTAGGAGGAATTCTCAGCTCAGGAATTTGCTCATTGCCACCAACAATCGCTCTATTCTTGTTGTGGAGGATATCGATTGTTCCCTTCAGATGCATGATAGGCTTACAAAATCATCACAATCACAAGCCCTTGTTACTACTCCATTCCCACGGCTTTACAACCTACCTGAAAAACCACCACCCCAGGTATAATATAATTAAAACCACCTCTTACAAGTTATCTTTCTTTTGTTTAATCGTAATTTTTGCATGCTGTGTTTCACATTTTTGCTAATTTTGTTGATTAAGTAAATTAGTTGATTGCTGATGTAACATGTTAGTCGATATTGTAGTTTGTTGAATAAGACTTACAAATGATAATTGTTGATGTAACATTAGAGTTAATGTATTTAGGGAATGACTAAATGTGGGAAAATTAAAAAATTTGGTGGCTAAATTTGCAAAATCATGAAAACGGGTGAAAAAAAGGTAATAAAGTCTTTTTCTCTAAGACAATGTTTTTGAAAGAGTATTATAGATCACCGAAGTATTGTTGGTTGACTAGGGAATTGACCTTCTGTCAGCGTGCCTAAGAAAATCAGCCATTCTGCAACTGTGTCTGACCTGTGGGTTGTTGAAAAAATTTATGTTATGTTTGTGTTTCTTGCAGGTGACGTTATCGGGGTTTCTGAATTTCATAGATGGGTTGTGGTCTAGTTGTGGGGATGAGAGGATCATAGTGTTTACGACAAATCACAAGGACAAATTGGACCCTGCTCTGTTGCGACCTGGCCGAATGGATGTGCACATCGACATGACTTACTGCACCCCATGTGGGTTCAAAATGCTGGCGAACAATTACCTTGGGATCACGGAGCACCCACTTTTTGTTGAAGTTGAGAGATTGCTTGGGATGACCAATGTCACTCCTGCGGAGGTGGGGGAGCATTTTTTGCAGAACGAAGACCCGCAAGTTGCACTAGAAAGCCTGATGGATCTCCTTGTAGAGAAGGGACGAAATCATCATGATCAAAGCACCTCTCACCAGTTACCACTCAATGGTTTGAGTCCAGCGGGAAGTTTTGAAAATGAAGGATGATAATCGTAGTTTGTATAAAAATAAAAAGGGAAAAGAAGAATAACTACAAGTGTGGCCCACACAATAGATAAAGACAGGATTTTAAGGATCAAACTCGTCTCATCTTTTGTCTCTCATACTCTATTCTCTGCTTAATTGAAAAGAATCTTTTAGGATTCACGCAGTCGAGAGATAAATTTTGATTAATGATTGCTGCTTATAGGTATATATGTATGGAAAAAGCTTTAAAATTGTTTAACGTTAAATTTTAAATTCTAAACCCTATTATATGATGAAGAGTGTTTTAAGCTTAACAACAATAATAAAAAAATCTTTGACATGAAAAATGTTTTCTGATTAACAATAATAAAAATTCTTAACATAAATAACTTTAAAATCAACCACAATAATAAAACTTTTAATGTAAAAAGTGGTTTAAAGTCGATAATAATTATAAAAATCTTTAATATGAAAAACATTTAAAGGTTAGTGACAAGAAAAAAAATTATTAACATGAAAAATATTTTAAAGTCAACTACAAGAAAAAAAAAATTGTTATGAAAAATGTCTTAAGATCGATAAACAACCAATACCATGGTATAAAAAAGGTTTTAAGATCCTTACTAAATAAAATGACACAAACAGGATAGAATTGAAATCAATCATAATAATAATAATAAAAAAATCTACCTGATACTATTTCTAATAAACTATCTAATAAAATACAACTCAAAATGCAAGATAACTAAAAATAATAACTTGATTGACAGCTGATCAATTATAAATTATCTAATAAAATACAATATTTTTAAAGTACAATCTTGACAAATGATTGATCAACTATTTAGGCATTTGATAAACACATTCGACAAACTATACATCAATTATTTGAGGACTAAGAAGAAGATCGAGTATTTATAAACTAATCGATGAAACACATTTGAAGAAATCTTGATTCTCACGATAATCAATCAAACTCTACCTTAGACACAAATGCATAAATTGATTGAATATCGATTTTAAGCGAAAACATCTTGGATCCTAACAACCAAAAACACTCCAATTAGCCAAAATGCGCAAGTAACAAAATACAAGAGCAAACAACAAGCCGAAACTATTAAAAGTCAAAAGACAATATAACGTGGCACTAGTCTATGATCATTAAGACTCTTTGTAACCATGGTACTTGAGATTGAAGGGTTGTGCACCTACCTGACTCTCAACAGCGAAGTAGACTAATCACTTAGACTTTTTGCACCTTTGACACTCGAGCTTGAAGGGTTATGTACCATATCAGTCTCATGCCGATAAAGTGAGTCAGAGTATATAGGTTCTTCTTTACACTTTCATGCTCGAGCCTAGAAGGTTGTGAACATATCAATCTCTCAGAAACCAAGTATTTCAATCACTTAGACTCTTCACGCCTTTAGCATTTGAGTTTAAAGGATTGTATACCATATCAATCTTCCATCAATTTAGTGAATCGAGCTTACCCTTCGATTAATGGTCAATCAATTTGTCAAATACACCTTATAACAAGACTTATCAGTTTTCGAACCATCTCCACAGTAGTTTGGACAAGGTGTAATAATTTGCAGAATATGTACCATAACGACCATAAAAGTTAAAATTTATAGGTCTATTAATGATAATAATGACACAACATGATTCATGTTCATAATATTATTTTTATATTATATATATATATATATATATATATATA